TGACCCCCCCCCTTCCTCGCCCAGCCCCCGACTCTTTGCTCTCGGGGTATGAGCATCGCAGCGGGGCCGGGCGGGAGCAGAGCCAAAGCCCGGAGCTGGAAATCCACTCCGGAGAGAAGCGGCACGACGTGCTTCCCCCCCCTCCCCTCACGACCGCCTGAGCCGCCTTCCCTCGGCGCCCGAGCGGAGCTTGGGAAAGTTACTTTTGGGGGGGGCATCGCTCCCAGAGCCGTGAACCCCCACCCCCACCTCCGGCCACATTCCTCTTGGCGGAAGGATTCTGGGAGAGGCCGTCGTCGAAAGAGAGCTTTTTTCCGGAGCCTTGGGCACACAGGTGGACTCGCCTGCTCGCGCGGGAAGCTCTCGGAGGAGCCGCGGAGCAGCCCCGGACCCTCCGCGTCCTCCTCCTCCTCCTCCTCCGAAGGCCGGCTAAGGCTCGGCACCCGCGCCATCCCGGCCTGGAGAACGACGCGAGGGCCGCGCTCTGCAACGCAGCGAAGCCGATCCACCCGCTGGATGGCTTCGGAGCAGAAGACCCTCGCCAGCTCCCCCCCCCGGGCGGCTGGCCTCAATTCGGGCAGGGCCGACTCCAGGTTTTCTCTCCCTCCTCCTCCTGCTCGGCCCGGCCCACTGGCTCGGGTTCACACATAGGTCCCTGGGGCCCCGGGAGCCCCCAGCCCCGGCATTTCCCAGGCTTGGCCATTTTACAGTGAGAACACGCTCTCTTTTCTCGGCCGCATTCCTTGTTCATCCCATCTCAGGCTCGTTCTCTCAACCTCTGCCGGCGTCCTATTTAAGCAAACCGCTTCCACAGGAAGGCAGCGGCTCTGCTCGACTCTTACAAGCAAAACCACCACACAAAGAGTCCCCTGGCATCTTTACATCCAACACACATGAGCTTTTATGGATGAGAGTCCCTCACCAGATGCATGAAGCATGTTGTTCAGGTACACGCACACAGTTTCTCTCTCACTTCACTCTCTACAATCCCGCGCCCCCTCCCCCGTCCAATGTACATTGGATCTGCTAGGTAACAATTCATTTCAGGTTATCTGTTCAAGTGTGTTCTAGTCCACACAACCTTATGGTATAATAAATGTATTAAGTCATTCAAAGGCCATAAAACCCTTTATTAAATAAACAAGCAGCTCAAAGCACTCTTCAAGGATGCTGACAAGAAAATCCCCAAAGATTTGTTTTAAAAATCAGAATACTAAACTTCACCAAAAACAAGCTTTCCTCCTCCTCCAGTAAACTTTGGCAATCTACGTATTTCTACAAACATTACTAGCAAAACAATTCTGAACAGTCACCTCTGACATCACCCCAAAATACAGATTTTTCTGTGCTTTAGTAGCACTGATGTCAAGAGGAGCTGCTGCCTAACTTTTAACTGAACTTTACAAGGAATGACAATTATTCCCACCACCAGCCCTGCAAAAACAAAACAAAAACCATCTTGGGGGGGGGAAACATTTTGGGCTTCTTTAGACACACACCCCTGCCTTCGCTTGGCACAACAGCAAGTTAGTTCCTTTGAGTTCCAAATCTCACTACTTCACAAACATGAGTTGAATTCTAATGAGGGTGAGGGCCTATCACAGTATCCACTGACAGCTTGGCTGTTGTTAACCACGTCTGGAAGCTGGCTGGCTGGCTGGCGTGGACTTTAACTCTCCCTCCCACTGCCAGTGACCAAGGCTTTTGGCTGAGACCCACATGAACATGCCCTTTCCACCAAGAGCTTGCTGGGGACAATAAGGCAGTCAAATCCGAAGTGCTAGTGCGTCATTCTACAATAGTCAGACAAAGGGCTGGAAGAAAGCCATGGCAAAGGGCATTGAGCGTGGAGTTGTGCCACAGTGTGTTTCTCTGAGTGAAGAATAAGCCTGTGTGAACTAGTCACCCGCACAGACTCTTTGGGTGACTTCTCACAGGCATATTTTTCCATCAGTGACTATTCAGCACTTGATCAACCCC